CACATGCTACTTACAATTAATCAAGACATTTTTTATTTGAAATGTATTGATCTCATCCGTCATACTAAAATATTGCTAATATTATATCAAAAAGTTAGTTTCTGTAACGTACACTAATTTTGTAAACATGTTTTTATAGTAGATCACTATATCCTAAGGTTTAGAATTTTTTGTAATAGAAAGGAGTTCAGCATGTTTATTACATGTTTGTGATTAAAGTTATGCCATACTGACCTGTCTTTAGCGTTTGAAGAGCATGAAAAAAAAAACATGTAGTTGTATTGATTACCCCAGATCGCATATTAGCACAGTTTAAAAATAACTTCGAAGAATTTCTGTACAAAAGTAACATCTTAAACTTGCTTGACAATAGAGGTCGTCCTATTCACCGAACTTCACAGAAATACACTTAATTTGCTCAAACAAGAGAGAATCCTCAATACCCGCAGAACTTAAAATTCTTCTAGGCAGGATTAGAGTAAATAAATCTATTTGACCTTTATTTTATTTTCATTAGCTATATTTTTGTGCACCAGCAATACCAAGCGTAGGGCGTGCGTAAACCTAATTTTATTACTCATCAAAATCACTACCAGCCTACTCTCAAATTGAAATTCTTTTAGGGAGGATTAGAACAAATTAATATATGAGACCTTATGCGTGGTCAAATACATCAATCGAAAGGGTTTGACCTCCTGGGTCCAAAAATTGTAATTAGATCTCAAATAGGTCAAAAGATGACGGAGACATGAATTAAAAGTATGTACTTGGAAAAACAAATAAACTCATAGCCGTTATGCCGTGGCGACAAATCCAATGTCGTCTCATACGCCAGCAAATACAGTAATGAAATTGCAAGTAAGATAGCAAGTACGACATTGTGTCTCCACAACCACTATGAGTGTATCTCTGGGTATGTAGAAATTCGTTGACCGAGCTAGTCCAAGCGATGAGTGGTCGGTCTGTGAATACGAGGTTTCGTGGTTCGTGGCTAGTTGCCGCAGAAATTCGCCTCACACTTTGGGGGCCGTGGGTGCACTATAGATGAGACAAGAGTAGTTCAAGAGTTGTCGATGAGCGTTATTGTTTAGCTACCTTCCCTCTAGTCTATCAGGTAAACATGGCGGATGGCTATGTGTAAGTAGCCCTTTATGTAGATTTGCGTAATAAAAATATCTGAAGCAAATTAAATGTATAACTTCAATAAAGTTTAAAGTCTAAGAAGGATCAGGCAATGTTCTTAAAAGACGGAAGAAAATGCTTCCCTAACCAAAAGTGTTAGTAACAATTTTTACTTCAGCAGCTTAGACGACAACAATAATTCATTTCATGTATTAAAAATCTTACTGAATCTCAAACTCACAGAAAAATAAAAACCGCACAAAATTAATTTATTCATACTTGGGAGCTTTCAATGATAAATACAGCAAATATAAATTAAGAACTCAGAGATGTGCTTACAATTGTTTGATTAAAGAAAATGTTTCTAATTACAATTAACAACATAAAACTCAAATTTCCAATGTAATATCATTATATATTAAAAGTAATAGTTTTTTAATGTTTATGAATGTTTTTAACTCACCTTTCAAGAATAAATAACCAAGGTTTCATTGTTTTCTGCATTTCAGTGATCAATATTTTGAAATTATCTAAATTTGTTACAATCGTTACTAGTGTTTGCTTTTCTGTATAGTGTTAATTTGAAATTGGTTCCTGGCATCACATAAACTTGCTGTCTGCCATTATTTTAGTATTTATACTATGAAAATTGAAATGTGCTATATACAACCGTCTCGCGGTGGTTCTTGTTCCAATGTAGGTCTGTAAATAAGCACAGTAACTGAATATATGATTACATTCGAACATTATGTTTAAGGTTTTAAAAGGTGTTTAATTTCCGTTTGAATTTGAATGCTATTCATAATTATATTTCATTTATTACATTCTTTTTTGTTTGTTTGTTTTTAGGAGATCATCCTTCAAGCTTTGTAATAGATTTATTAGTAAGGCGACTTCTGTTTGATTTATTTATTTATTTATTTATATTCCATTTATTTTATTTTATTCGTATGTTCCTCCAGTGTTCAGATATAAATCTGAGGGCTTATAACACTAAGATCGGGTTTCGATATTTGATGTGGGCAGAGTGCAGATAGCCCATTGTTTAACTTTGTCTCAACAACAAGCAATCCTTTTTGTGGTTGTTGAATTTCATTGAGACGTTTAGATTATACATATCAGTGAAGAATGTTGAGCATTCCGAGAAAGAATAAAGATTTTCCTTAAAAATACCAAATGGGAAATTCTCCACTTTTGAGCTAAGTGTAAGGATTGACTCAGAACAAAGGCAGCGTCTATCTGTACAACGCATTTTGTGTTGAAAATATTTGGGTGACAACACTCCGTAGATCTGTGTAAGTTCTGAGAAACTTTTCTGGTCTCTAAAATGGCTGAGACAACACTAATCGACCAGGCACTTGTCATCACAACAATATGAAATTATTCTCTTCACAACTAATGGAAAGGTATTAATATATATAAGAAGAAATTGGAACATTTTTTATTTTTTGACCAAGGACCATCATGCAGGAAAAAAATGCTGTTGCCATCTTACGTTTGAAAAATCCTTTCAGAATTTTTAGAACAGATATTCTGAGAAAACAAGCGGGCTACTATCTCCTGCTGGGATGAGATCTAGAGGATGCAAGGAATGAAGATTCTTCCATCATAAGCACACTGGGATGTTAGAAGATAGATTTCATCTATAGAAAAAACGGTTAGCTGGCCAAAACATTAAGAAAATCGCGACTCGTTCTGATTCAAGAAGGCCGATTATAGCAATTATGGAACCGATAATTAATTCTGAGCATTGATTGGTTAGTTAATAAGCAGCTACAACCAATCTAGATGTGTCGAGAAGAAAATGATAAAGTACAAATAATAATGTCTAATTACAAATACACTCTACTTCTAATAATCATTATAGATAGTAGATAAAATAAAAATTAACGTTATGAAAAAAAGTCGAGAAGATGGGGTCAGTGTTTCAGCCACAATATATAGTTCTCGGTCATTGAAGTACAATTATCAGAAAGACCTTGGAGGTTATTTTAAGCTACAAACAATTGATGAAGACAAAAGTGGAGAGATTACTTTGTGAGAGCATTATCCAGCGCTTAATAGTATCTAATAAGGGTGCGTGTCTCATCACAGTAGTCAATATGATACGTATTTGGATATTGATGTTGCGATACGATACGTATTTAGAAACAAAAGTTTTACCAACGCTTTGTTACAAAGTTTGACAGTCTTGTCTGTAATTTATTATCTATATTACAAACATTGTCTTATATAAGTACTTCACACTTTACAGTGCTTTTTAAAATTCTCAGGTTTGATCAACTAAATGGCAGCTGGCAAAAGAAGTAAAATAAAAAAGTTAATATCTGTCTATCTATTTTGTTATTGTTAATTTGTTATGTTACTTTGCAAGTAATGTTTTTGATAAAAGAAATTAAGACAACATGTAGTATTCAATACTCATCTTCCTTTATTGAATCATTAATTTTTAGCAAAAATACTTTATTGGAAATTTTGATTTTTTCTGTACAAAGACTTATAATGTTTACTGAAAGCTTGCCAAATTTAGTGAAGATACATAAATCGTATCGTATCAGACGATGAATGGATACAATCGTATCGCCACACCTTTAATATCTAATCATTGAAAACTGTGATGTAAAGAAGGAGGAGACTGCACAAAGATTCGTTTGGATTTTATAAGGGTTAGTGCAATAACATGGAAGACAACTTCCTAATACATGTAGAGATATGTACCTGGAACACAATAATGAAGCGTTCTTGATGGCACCAGGTTACTAACTAGTATAATTAGATAAGACGTGTAGATATAAAACAGCATACACCACAAACTTGGCTTATGTGATAGGATAATGTCTTTTGGACTGTGTAATAGTCCTATTACTTTCAAGCATCTAATGGAGTTAGTCGTAGGTGGACTCTGGTGGGGAATATGTTTAATCTAGGTACTTAAGGTACTGTAGTTTCGAAGTACTTTTGGAGAAGCTCTGATCAAAGTTTAAAGCTAAGAAGCGCATTCTAACGTGTACCGAGCTAAGCTTGTAGGATGCATGATTAGTGCCAGCAGAATCTCCAGTGATGCAACAAAAACTGTGACAATGAGCTACTGCGCAAGACTTAACTGCAAAATGAGATTTGAAAATTCCTTGGGGTTTTATTTCTAGCATTATTACTTTGTTGGAAACTTTTTAACAAGATTTATCCGACTCTCAAGATAGATCAAGTAGGATGTGAGGTTCTTTATAAATTGTAAGTGTGAACACTCATTGTAAATATTGGAGGAAAGGTTCATGGAGTCCAGGACTGACTTATTAAAAACTATGTATCACTTTTATTCAGCACACAGACATGCGAGTGTGTAGAATCACTCTACAGAACAGGGTGGGCTAAATTTAAAGGGTCATAGCTTATGTCTCTAGAAATCTTGAGTTTCTGAGATCATTATAAAACAATAACTGGATTACAAACGAACTTTCAGAAAACAAAATTTGAAAATTTGTTTGTGTTATATTTGTTTTATTTAAATATAAATCTAGGAAAATAAAGTGTTGGATCTATAACAGTTTTAACTTTATGAGTATAGCCAAAAAGCCACCAGTATGACAGAATCCATAACAATGACAACGACAAAGTATCAGATCCGATATATTGGAGAAGTGGACTAGTCAGGTGATTATGAGCATCACAGATATTACAATTTGACTCTATTTGTGTCTAGATAACTTGCATTACAGTTACAGTAGAGAGTATAAATCTAATATGAAAGTTTATTAATATTTTTATACAATAAGTCGAAGTTTACATAAGTAAAATAAAAATTGCAGTTGAAGAGTTTGATAATATGATAATAAGACTTCCACGTTGTTTTGTATAACATGACCGGAGAATGAAGTTGACATGTATTTCTCTTATTTGTTCCTTTTAAGGTAAAATAGATACTATCTATAATTTATGAGATTGAGATTGGAAGGTTAAAACGTGCCAAATGTGTAAACATACAAGTTTATGAGTAGGAATCAGTATAAGATTCACATACACACCAAGAAAAAATTAGCCCTAAAGGGGCAACTGAACATATTCTGTTACACATTAATGCTATATAATTTATGATTGCTAGTTCACTTGAAGCAAATTAAACAGAAGTTTGGAGGGGAGTGGTCAACCAAGAATGAAAATTTTTCAAGTGTTATTTTAATTCTGGAAAATATAATCTTCTTTGTTTGCATAGTTGAAGGTATTTCAAACGAAACAAAGAACAAATAGATCTAAAACTGGAGTGTGGCAATGGCAAAAAGTGTAATGACTGAAATAGTCATGAATTTCTCCCTTCCATAATTAATTCAAAATATATCACTAGCTAAGTAAATTCACGTATTTTTCTTACAATTCTATGCAGATGTTCTGCATATAGTTAGGACATCCTTGTTAACCTAATGTGGAAAGGACATAATATGTACTAATCATTTTACTCATATAAAGGTTGCACACACACTAATGGCTAGAAACGCAAATCACTTTATTCCTCTGTCTGTTTCTCATGATTAGGGACTGAGTCTATTTCAAGGGGTGACACAGATATTTGTACATATTGCTATGAGTTGCGTGTTTTTTCTCCTATAAATCTTATTTAGAATATCTGATGGCGTATGCAGCATTGGATTATAGTGTACCACACTCTACCACCTTTATCTGAATTTGGTGCAGTGTATTGTAATTCCTTTTGGTTTCTTTTGTGAATGTAAAAAAAAAATATTTTTTTGTACTGTGGAAATTTCCAAAAAGCTATCTTTCACTTTAGTAGACAGCAAAAATCACAGCAGAATTATAGGCTTGTCGGTAAGTGAAATAGTTAATAACATATCGTTTTTACTGTGATAAAATTATTTATTTGGTCATTCGTGTTTGTTTATTTCCTTTGCTGTCCTTGTTTGATTTATTCTCTGCATAACATTTCTGCTATCTGCATTTTCTGGATATCCGTAAAATTTATCTGTTGGATATCAATGGTCCTGACTAGCACAAATTAGTTAAAAAGTAATATTTTTGGTACTATGAGGTAAAGGCTTGTTATTGCATAGTTTATTGTAAATGTGCTTCTTTTTACGTTGAACTCTCTGATACTGTAACTCTTTGTACGGCGTGAACAAGGAAGGACACTTTTAGAGACCACATAGAACTTATGGCAGAGAGTAGAAACCCACAGCTTAAGTGAGCACTAAATATGAGAATATGACAAAGACCAGAAGAAGCACTCCCTAAGACCAAAGGATTTTGTCTACGATTATGAGAGTGATGTCTAAGTTTTCAATCAATCCCGTGGACTGTATGGTTAATGTGCATCTCAATGGGTTTTCCTAAACACTTGTGTCAAAATGTCCAGTGGCCATTTCTTGTGATCTTGAGCATAACACAGTAGAAAAGGATCGTAATAGATTCTAGCAGCCCTAACATGCTCTCTAGGTGGTCTCTAGGGGAGAAAAAGGTGCTCGCTACTAAGCCCAAGCATTACGATATGCTGTTTCAAGTCACTCATGGCTGAGGAGAATGGTCAGACATGCACACTAGATGAAGTCTGGTGCACCTCATAGCAATTTTATCAAGTGAAGCAGGTGTCATCTCTGTATGATCCTATGGACCTTGAGCTTAGTTAAGAGCTTCCCAGGCAAAATGATAACATGCGAAGTCTGCCTGGTAGCCAAGGACGAGATAGGATGTTATAGTATCACATTTTACATCATCACAATATCAATGATCGTGTGAAGTACCACGTGCCGAGTCATTCCACTGTGATCTTAGCCCAAGGATATCATATTCCTCGGGATATATATACATCTCCAGACCTCTGTAAGAAGATAATGCCCGATATCATTTCCAGTGGCCTAGGACTCGACAGGATATTTGAAAAAGTGTGATATCACACGTCATATTGTCACAACGGCAATTATGGTGTATATTACTATGTTCTCAGTCATTCCATTTAGAACTTTGCCCAAGGATGCTAGATTTGTAAGAATTCAAAAGTTTTTGAAACTTCAGATTCTATACCAATTCCATTAGAGCACTATAGGATGAATTGTTGCATAGCATATCAAACCATTATGATAATAATGATGGCATGTACTACTGAGCACCCAGTAATCTCCCTACGACCTGAACCTAAGGATGCCACATTCGCAAGGATACGCACATCTCTTAACCTTGTGAAGAAAATGTACACAGCCTCTCAATTACAGAGCAGTAGAGAAGCTGATGACCAGAATCTGACTGCAACATCATTTAATTATTGTATTGTGCAATAGGACGAGCTTTGAGTGTTTAAGGTCAAACAGATACAACCATTATGGTCATTTCGTTAAAAAAATCAGTGAGTGAAATAGTTTTCCTTAATTTCTGGGTTACCAAGTGATGTTCGTGGTATGTATTACATTGTGTGATTGCTACTTCATTTTTTTCTACAGTTAGGATGGTTATTTTATTGAAAAATCAACAGTTTAAAATCATTGTAAGCCTTACTTTCTGAGCAATCAAGTGATATTTAGCTGTAAGTCATGGGTAAAATGTTTTGTGATAGTCGCCCGATCTATCTGGTAAGTTCTAACGAAATTTGCGATAGATACAGGTAAAGTTTTTGGATGAAAATTCTGATGAAAGTGACAGTCCTCATAACTATCAATGGTAACCAAGGATTCTGACAAGTAAGCTCAAATAACTTTGCAATCTTTGGTTCCTGACCATTAGGGTTGAATTTTATATTAAATGTTGGTGGACATTTACCTGTAGAAACTGAATCAACTAGTGATTTTGAGTATAAAGTCAATATTGTGGTTGGTATAAAACAGTCTTCCTGGTATGCACTAAGAGAGCTGTGCTCTAACAACAGCATAGGAAATTAACATAGATTTTATAAATCCCGTAAATTTCAGAAATTGTTCATTTATACAAATCAAACATATTTATATATCAAAACTAGTTTAAGACAATAGGCATGTCATGTTTTCTCTCCTTTCGTAAGAATAAGAGATCATTTCATAATTTTACCGCATAAAGGCTGAGTGAAATAATCGAAAAACATGTCAGCTACCAAAACTGAAAGATATTCCTTCACCAACATTACTGAAAACAATGGATCCACCAGTTTTTCACCTAGTGTGGTGTAAACTTCGTAGCAACTCAATGTTTTGTTCTCAATTAGAAATTGCATGCTTACGAATATTTCAGTTTGTACCAAATTGCATATGCTCTTTAATTGCATTTAGAAAATACAGAAAACACCATATTTTATACCTCAATGGGGTTTAAGCTGATCGTCGCAGTTTTCTACCAAGTGTATCACATTTCAATATTTCAAGTCAAAATTATTTATTAACTTGAAAATTGTTCTTTTGTATGAATCATAGGCGAATAATAATTTGAGGCAAATGATTATTTGTCTTGGCATTAGATAAAAGGCGAAAAATAACTCAGAAAAAAAAATCTAGCGAAATGATACACATTTTATCTAACATGACTAAATATCTTTTTTCGATATTATTTCTGAACAAGGTAGCCGTAATTCAAAACTCTGTGTTAATTACATTTAGTTGCAATGTTATAACAGTTTTTATGGGAACTACTAGAATATAGTCCTGGACTTATCTGTGAAATCAGGAGTGATTTTGTTTATTTATTCAGATTATCAAACTGCAGGTTGTGAACAGACAGGTTTATGAAACCTTCAAGGCTAGAAGCATTGGTCACTGCTTGTCAAGTAGTTGGCTCAATTGCAGTTACCAACATAAGCTGTCTTCTTACATCTCCCCTCTCTTCCCCATTAAACCCAGGCTCTGTCTTAATAACAACCAGACAATAGTAAAAGAACCAACACGTATGAAAATGGCTGAGCTCGCTGACTGATGACTGTTGCCATGATCAGGAGTCTGGTCAAGGCATCCAACCATAATGAGTTGAGATTTCAATTATCGGAAATCGCTATTTCTCTTATTCTAGTTCGCTGGCCTTCCATCTTCCTGGGTTGAAGGAAGGTTGGAGTGAATGTTGAACTTATATACTCTGATTACTGTGCAGCAGAGGCAGATCGCCATCAAAGGGGGGGAGGGGGTGATTAGCCCCAACCTCTTCATTCTTTTCATTAGTACAATAATTAGCAAATAATAAACACTTTTGAATAAATTATTAAAGTTACAATGCTTTAACGTAGTTCTAGCGTATTAGATATTATGTTGGTTCTCCACAAAAACAAGCTGAATTTAACACATTTCAAATGGGAAAGTAAGGTATTTGCACTCTACAGTGTGATTAATGTTTTTGTAGTTTGTTGCTGAGAATCTAGCTTATCATTTTAATATCATAACAAATTTTGAGGTTTTTATTGTCTGAATCTAAAAATATTTTGCATTTATACTTCCGTTCTACGAAATCTAAAGCTCCTCAGTGTTTGAGTGAGAAATCTGCGGACTTATATAACGCTAAATATCGGGTTTCGATACCCGTAGAGGGCACAGCATAATCAACCCATACTGTAGCTTTGTACTTTAGTACAAACAAACAAACGAAACCTTGAATTTGGTTTGTTACTTTCATGCGGTATATTGAAGCACTGAGGTATATTAACAAAATACATGCCTAAATAAACAACAACGAAACAAAAATTTGCAGTTGCCTTTTATTAGACACGTGTCAGTTACAGAGTCTGGTGATAAATTTTCGATATACAACACTGTGAAGTTTAAAAGAAAACATAAGCTCAACTTCCATGTAGCAAATAGTTCATTCAAGAGAAACGTAATGTCGTCCTTTGGTGTACTGTTGCATTAACGCTATATAAATAAAGTAAACTTTTCATTAATTTGTGAATGTTCTGAAAATAAAAAGTATCAAACATTTCATTGTTAAAAAGAAGTTTGATAT